CTCTATCATAAAAAAAACAATCAAAGAGGGAGAGTGATAGTAACAGAGAGAGAGAGAGAGACAGACAGAGGGTGCGTGAGACTATGAGGAATTTCGATTACAAATAAAATAGTATAGAGTCTCTCCGAGAGAGAGAGAGACAGACAGAGAGAGATAAAGGGATAGAGTGAAAGAGACAAAGAGAGATGATGAGATTTTCTGGACTTGTAACCTTTTTGGTTTTTCATGTACTTAATCTGAGCTGTATTCTTGATAACAAGATCAACGTCTTGTTTATTTAGGTGAAGGTGAGGGGGACAGGAGGTGGGGGGGGGGGGAGGGGGTGTTGTTTATGTCGTTGTAGTCGTGAGCTTTGCCCAGTACAAGATAACTGCTCAGTACAACTTGAAATTGTAATTAATGATAACAATTGCCACTTGACATGTTAAGAATGCAGACAAAAGTTTACTAGCAGTCCACGTGAAAGGATAAAAATATTTTGTTTAGACATTGTGCGTACGCCTTTGTAGATCTCAAATGGGTTGTTGGCGGGTGCTCTGGTGTGACTCTATGGTGCTCATTCTTTCTTGTCGAACATCTATCGTCCTTAGCTCTCTCTCTCTCTCTCTCTCTCTCTCTCTCTCTCTCTCTCTCTCTCTCTCTTTCTCTCTCTCTTTCTCTCTCTCTCTCTCTCTCTCTCTCTCTCTCTCTCTCTCTCCCTCTCTCGCCCTCTTCATGTGTTACTCTCTCGTAGAAGCACCTCTAATCTTCGGTACTTATTAATAATTACTTATATGACCAATGCGTGTTTCAAGTGCCGTAAAACTCCTACATCTTTTAAACTTTAGAAATAAGACAATAATTTGACATGGTTAGAAAGTGGACAAAGGTGAAATTAGTTGCCCACGTGAAATGATATTTTATTTATAAGTTGTGCTTGGGCTTTTATAGAATTATCCTAGGCTCGTTAGTCACAAGTGGAAAGTAAGGTAGGTAATAACATTGTTGGTATCCTTCTGTTTCGCTCTTTGTTCTCTTGATATTGGCTATTTTTTGGTTTTGTGTTTTTTGTTCATTTGCCTTTGTTGGCATATATTTATATTATATTGGTAAAAACATACTCGACCCCCACATTATCACTCGTGTGTGTGTGTGTGTGTGTGTGTGTGTGTGTGTGTGTGTGTGTGTGTGTGTCCGTCCTTGATACTTCTTTTTTGTATTTGTCACTCTCTTGAAACACCTCTAATCTTCGGCACTTACATGACCTAATTGTGTTGCAAGTGCCGTGTTACGCTTACTAAAACTGTAGGCTACGTTTTTCGTTACTATTCGGTCCTGAATGTTAGTTACCCCATCTTATGACCGAATTCGGGTCTCCTGCGTGCGAGACTGCGACAGCGAAGCGCCAACACAACCGCAACCGCTACCCCGCAGACGCAGGTTAACCCTATCCGTACTCCCTGGGGTAATTTTGTACCCCCGGGGTTGTATTCTTCACTTTTTAGAATACTTCTAGTAGGAAGATTTCTTTGAAACCTTCAGTATTTCTCCAAAAATCATTTTGACAGACTGCTATGCAAAACGCACGGATCGGATGAACGAGTCAATTTCCTCTTTGGAAAGTGGCGACACCGAGTTCCCCACGTCGTATGGGTACGACAGTAAAACACGACGTACGGATAGGGTTAAGTGGCGGCACCGAGTTCCCCACGTCGTATGGGTACGACAGTAAAACACGACGTACGGATAGGGTTAAGTGGTGGCACCGAGTTCCCCACGTCGTATGGGTACGACAGTAAAACACGACGTACGGATAGGGTTAAGTGTCGGCACCGAGTTCCCCACGTCGTATGGGTACGACAGTAAAACACGACGTGCGGATAGGGTTAAGTGGTGGCACCGAGTTCCCCACGTCGTATGGGTACGACAGTAAAACACGACGTACGGATAGGGTTAAGTGTCGGCACCGAGTTCCCCACGTCGTATGGGTACGACAGTAAAACACGACGTACGGATAGGGTTAAGTGGTGGCACAGAGTTCCCCACGTCGTATGGGTACGACAGTAAAACACGACGTACGGATAGGGTTAAGTGGTGGCACAGAGTTCCCCACGTCGTATGGGTACGACAGTAAAACACGACGTACGGATAGGGTTAACAAGTAGGTTACGGATTACGGGGACATTCTTTCTCTGTCAGTGGTGTCGTTGTTCTAGTTCTTATCTGCGTTTTTGGTTGTGTTTTGTATTGTTTGTTTTCCCGTACTCCCATGGCTCACGTACCAGCGTCAACCTTTCTCTCACTTATCTAGCCCACTTGGGGAAATTAGTGTTTGGTGACCCTTGCTCCGCGATCTCGCTTTGTTTGTTTGGTTTGTTTTTAAAAAATTAAAAGTGTTTTATTTACGGTGCTCGCAACTGCATAAGGTCATAATATATGAGCGCGCGGGACCCATCAAACATCTTGTTTCAATTGGTAGGAAATTTTGAATTTTGCCCGGTGGCGGCCGAAGCCTACTCTTATCGATTTTTTAAAAATCTCTGAGGGGTCTTTAGCGTGCGCTGTGGGTGGTTGGCGGGTGCTCTTGTGTAGTTTGTTCCTTCTTTCCTATCCGACATCTATCCTTCTTTCTCCTCCTCCTTTTTTGTGTTTGTTACTCTCTTGTACCACCTCTAATCTTCGGCACTTATACATGTATAATCTTATATGACCTTATTGTGTTGCAAGTGCCGTAAAACTTTCACTAGAACAAAAATAACGTGCGCAACTTGCACACCAGACCTCTGGGATTTTCCCCCTTGTCCCAGAAGGCTAGGTGTAGATCTTTCCTACCTGAAGATCGGGGGTGTTGCTGAAAGACAGCAGTAAGGAGCCAAAGAGCAGTAGTAGAAAGGCTGCAGAAAGAGTAGGAACCCAGTGGAGGGGGCAAATGAGATGAGGGGGTGGGGGCAGAAAGAGGAGACGAAGGCAGACGACAGAATATTGCAAGAGAGAAGGAAAGAGGGGGAAAGGAGACTATTTTAGAGAACATTTTTCGGTTGCTACCCGGATTCGAACCCGGGACCTTTGAATGAGAGGCGAACACCTTAACCCCCAGGCCACGAAAGCCCCCCTCTCGCTTTGTGATTTGACTTAATGACGCGGTTCATGTATAGAGTTATGGGAAAATTGAAAATACTAGACCACAGAACTATAAGTTATACCTACAAGTATAAATAATTAGGCCGGCTTGCCCGTTTCACCCTCGTTGGTAGTTCGATGGTGATGTTAATTGTTTTGTTGTTGTTGTTGTTTTTTTTTACTGCAACACGCAGAAGGCTTATGTTCAAGTCCCACGTGATAAGACGATGGTATCTGCGTACATGCGCCATGTTTTCGAGGCAGGTGCAAGGTGAAGGCCGTCTGTCGTACGTTCTACTTTTGCTTCACTCGTGTTGTTTGTGTCTGTGTGATTGTCGGTCTGATGAGTCTCACTCTTTCCTTGCGCTAAATAACCGTTATTGTGTCGACATGCTTCTCTTTACTCTTACAAAATAATTAAATGCTGCTCTTTTAAGATAAACTCCCAGTGTCGAAAGAGGCCTTACACCTGAACAAGTGGGTGGTTGGCGGATGTTCTGATGTGGTTTGCTCCTTTTTTCCTGACATACATCTAGCGTCATAATCTCTCTTTCTTCCCGTCTTTGTATGTTACTCTCTAGTAATCTTCGGCTTTAAAAATTATAACCTTTTTGTGTTGCAAGTTCTGTAAATTTCTTACTGAATCTAAAAACTTAATCTAAAACTCTCTAGTAACACTTCTAATCTTTGGCTCGTATATTATGTGACCTATTTGTGCTATATTAATTAAAACTGAACCTGTACAGTGAAAACGAGTGACAAAATAGGTGTGTTATCAAGTACAGTCGAATCTGCTCTGACGGCTACCTGTACTAACGGCAACTTCTCATATCTCCCTTTGTGTTTAAAAAAAATCTTCAACATTATAAAGGCACCGTATTATAAGACGCCCACCTGTCTAAGACAACCACTTTTTCTTCTCGCCAATGTGGGTGGTTGGCGGATGCTCTGGTGTGGTTTGCCTCTTTCCTATCAAACATCTATCGTCCTTATAAATCTCCCCTTCTTTTTTATGTTTGTT